TAGTAAACCGAGCATATTTTTTAATAAAATAAGTACCGAAGCATTAGCTGTCCAGTGCGGTTTCGTCTACGGAAATAAAGGAACCAAGTAGCAGTGACCTCTTATTTTCTCGAACACAACCACAAATTGTCAACGTTTCTGTACGATCGGCTTCCGTTTAATCGACGGCTAACCGAAGACGAGTTGGCACATATAAGGCCCTGCTGAAATATGGAACGCAATCATGCGAGGTGCGGCAGTCTTTGGTGGAGTAATTAGGAAGTTGCTTACCACTAAACATATATACAATTACCACCAGAATTGTCGACCGGTTATGTTGAGTAGGTGCCGCATAGGTGGGTTTTAATGTGGCATATGATATGCCTTCGGTCCTTTCAAAACGTCGGGATACCGGACGCGCCCTTGTGCGTCAGTCAGAGGAAGGTCACTATAGCCACATAAGTTTCTCCCGATGGCAGCAGATAGCGTTATTCCGACGCTTTCCACATATAGTGAATGTAGACGGAACGCACGAAGCAAACCGCATTGGGTAAGTTTTTTTAAAGCATCTAATATTCGGCATGTGAATATAAACTGTACACGGACAGCATGGGAACCGGGCGTCCGGTTATGTTCATTCAGCTGCTCGGTATGATCGACGCAGGTTATATGTGGCTAGTTAGTTAGGCATCGTGTACCCCTAGCCGCGTGTTAGTCGTGTGCGTCAGTTAGGTTCATTCAGCTGTCCGGTATGACCGACGCCTGTTCCATGTTCCTACTCGACAAACCTCGAGGTCTTCCTAGCATAATTCGCAACCTATAATGGAAAACTCTGGTTTTTGCCAGCAAACGTGCACTACGGAATTTTTACTGGCAACAGGAATCATCGACCAAAATTTGTTTGCACGAATGCACCTACGCATATTTTGCATCTCCAGGGGCCATTTAGATTCTAGAATGTTGAGAAAATTTGTTCCGGTGGAAAAATACCTGAAAATTACGTTTATTGTAGGTGAGTAAACGTTTTCCACAATGTGCGATTTCTTATTATCAGGCAACAAATTCTCAGTCGGTGTTTATTGACCTTGAGAATTCACTCACTCAAACAAATCACCATAGCAAATGATTTTCAATAATACAAGAGCATGTACATTATACATAGACATTCTACACCGTGAAGTGGCAATTCTCAAGATGCCGTAGATTTCGAGACATCAACCCCATTGTGCGAATAGCCGACGGCGTAGTGGGAAGCAGCGAGTGACCACCTGGTCGATGATTAGAGTAAGGCTGTTACATTGCAGAAATGGAATACAGTATAGCAGAGATTTCCACGCACAGACTATCCTGGAGCGACGAATTCAACTTAATGACGTGTGAATTCTGTAAATGAACAGCGAACTAATAATTTCATCAAATTTGCACGAGCGGAAATTGAGAGGAAACTTAGGAAAACCGAAGACCAAGTGGAGCATGCTTGGAGCTGGGGCACGAAGCAGAAAAATGGGAGGCGTCAGTGATCAAATTTTCGCACACCCTTCATCGATTTTCCGAAGCCTTTTATTTGCACCAATCATTTTTCAGAAAAATTCGCGTGCCCTGACGCCTACCTCGGTGCACGCGGCGACAAAAGCGCATTGTAGTGTACGGTGTCCGTCAGTTTGATTGATTTATGTGTAAGCATTGGTGATGCACAACCTTGCTTACTGGGCCCCGGCTCATGAGCTTTGTCTCTGTTTTCCATCCACAGAAATTGTCGTGGACACTTGCCTTCGGAGAATCACTGTCCCTTCCATAGCGTGCATATTACACGCATTTAGTCAAATGCAGAGTCGATGCTTGGTAAATTCCTTCATCGGCAACCGACTTACGGGGAGGAAATTAGGAGTAGCCTACGGAATTATCGTCCCAGTATATTTCGTTAAAGTCCTATCTATCGGAACAGTCGGCTGCAGCCGAACATTGTGCATGCACAATGGTTGAAACTCAAGTCTACGGACAGGGTGCCCTTCCGACACCGGTTTGCGCCAAAGGTTTCGGGCATTACCAGTTTGATGTCACCTACGATTCTTCGTGTAAGGCACATGAATGCAAATCTCAGGCTCCAATAACATCACAGGTTATCCATTGCTGGATTGATGTTTACATGCGATTGCTGATACCGTTAGCGGAGTCGCTCCTATTGTGTGAACGCTATGGAAAAAGCAGGAGACTGCTTCTCCGAAGACACGTGTTCACGACAATTTCCGTGGATAGAAAACAGAAAGAAAGCTCATGAGCCGAATCCCAGTAAGCAAGGTTGTACATCAGCAATACTTACATATAAATCAATCAAACTTACAGACACCGTATAGTTCACTCCTGAAAACAACTCTTCGCATAAATCCTAAACAGTTCGAAACCTAAACGCCTTTCAAACAGACGCACTCATGCTGTCCGCCATAAGTAGATCAACAGTCAATCCGCCGCAGATTCAGCAAGATTAGACCTATCTCCTACGTGTTACATTCGACTGCTGTCCCCGCTCCAGTGCCTGATTGCAGGAAGAAGGATTCGCCGACAAGCTACCAGCGAGTGCAGAGGTTACAACGGCCTCGCGCTATTCAGAGGGCATTTTTGACATTGATCCAGGTTGTCGGATAGGGTTTATTAAGCATTCGTCGATTTTCCAGCTTCCCCGTTGAGATTTTGGTGGAGCGTCTGGGTTCTGGGCATTCTGGAGTTACTTTTAGGAATATGACCTTAACACTGCAACATACCAAACTACAGTCACAGAACAAAACATATCTGCCAAGTATGCTTTCACATTGGCAGTCGAATTCTCTGTCGCCAACGTGCATGGTTGTCGCCAATATGGACACGGGCACCCAGTGCGGACAATCTTCGTTATGCACGCACATAGCTCCTCTAACATTAACCAGCTAATCAAACAAACGACCAAGTCTCAAAACACAATACAATAAACTGAACGATCACTGACGACGATTTCACGAGCAGGTACGTCGGCTTGCGGCAATCGCTCTATCCATATGCCATCAACTATGAGCTTCGGGTGATCCTGCAGCTGCTGCAGCAGGTTGCACTGGTGTTGGTATGGCTTCCCAACAGCGAGCCGTGGCTTTGCCCGATTGAGAACCAGCAGACAGGTGATTGTGTTGTCCGAGTGCACGTCGATAAAAACTCGTACTGGTCGAAATGCTGAACGATCTTTTTTCCTCATGTTCATTTGAACACCAACGAAACGTAGTTCCGATTCCGAGACATCTATCGCGAATTGAGCACAACCGTCCACCGCAAGAAGTTGTGTTCGGTTTTTTTTTCACAACTACACTGAAGTGCAGTGGTTCCAGCTGATACGGCTTCGTTCATTAAGGATGAGGAGAATAAGAGAATGAGCACCACGTGTGTACGGCAGTGAAGCATCGGCTTTGGATACTGATGTTATGCTGTCGATGATGATGATGATGCACCACGCGTTGGGGGCGGTGGCCTAATCTGTGCATTGGTGCTACGTAGGTCTGTCTGTCCAGTATGACAGGAAGTAAGAGCTACGCAGTGAAGGCGATAGCTTTGATGCAGGACTGCCATCGGCAGTCATATCTGTCAGGGTCACTAACGGTCGTTTCGTCTCTTCCCGGGAAGACAGCATTCACCAACGTGGCTGAGTCTACTGAGTCTACTACCAGGTCATGGACTGACTGCCTCGGTCTGGGCTCTTTAAGGCAACTGATCCTCTGACATGCAGAGTACGTGACCTAAACAGCGTAACATGTGAGTGTGAATAGTTGATTAATCCAGGGAGAATGTACTTTCCAGGAAACTTTTTGGTGTACCTTTGCATTACGGATGTGATGTTCCCACCGGATCCGTTCAGCGCTTCGGGGCACCAATGACCAGAGAGTCTCCGAAGATCTTCCGCACTGTGCGGCCACGTCTCTAATCCATAAAGTAGGATAGATCGGGCCGTGGAATGACACACTACCCGTTGACAATCAGTCTGATGCGACGCTTGCGCTACAAATGTCAGAGGTTGGCAAACGTTTTCTTGGCCTTCCCAAATCGCCTTTCACCAGTCCGTCGAGACTTATGCAGCTAATCTAATAGCCAAACTTAATTACTCTAACGATCGATTTGCATGCAGCCATGAGTTTTAGTTCGGTCCCACCCATTTTTGCAGGAACATTTTCACTTCGGACGTAAAGCTGCCACCTTGACATGGCGGTCCGGCTTGAGAGTTGCAATAATGCCGCAGGCTACATGGGCTGGTTTTTCGTTCCACTAGGTACATTCATTCCAGGAAGGCCAAAGGGGATCAGTCAATGTCGTACTGTCCTCTTCCGTGGGATTGTCAAGGCAGCAAGGTGTTCAGTCCGGGCAAATTCCCGGAAACAGTGATGTTGCCTTACCCCGAGGAAGAACGAGTTAGAAAAATCGGCCTTAAATCCGCACACTCCGATAGCTTAACGACTGTCCGTGAAAGCCGACACATTGTTCGATGCGGTTGAAACACTTTTAGAACCAAAGCGTTTGGTGGTACTCTAGAGGCACCTGATATGCTCCGTTGCACTAGGAGCCAGACAGTAATGTCTTACTCTCTGCGGCCTTGAGTTGAGCCGGCCTCCTGCAGCCATGCAGGTCAAACTATCAAGTTCTACGCTCCAGGCAGGGTCCCTAAATAAAACCTGCTACCTCGCGGGTGAGGCTTTTGAATCAGAGTCTAAAGGAATGACCAGCGAATAAAATCGTACATCATCCCGGTGCCTTATGCGTCAGATTTTTGGGTAAAAGGTCACAAAAACGGACTCAGCTCCTTCACACTCTACTTTCCTCCTGTCCGATATTCTAGGAGCGAGAACTCGTGGGATATATGACAGGGGAGTTGCACTTAGTCTCAAAACTGAATGCGTCATTCGGTTGTCCAGCACAATCTAGCCCATGGCTACTCGACCTAAAAGCCGTACCTGTCTGCAGTATCGGCGTATGCCCCAAATCAGTGTAGTTCCGATATCGAGAAGATTGATTTCCATTGAGATTTATGCGCGCTGATTCATCGAGCAAGAAGTACTGATATTGTGATCCTTGCGGGTGATACAAATGCACAAGCCTTCGTTTGAGCTCCTTGAAATCACATCTAGGTAGTCGATTCGGTGTCTTTTTCCGCTCCTTTTGGACAGCACGAATCTCCAGCACAAACATTCGCATCGCGCAACTTGAGCGCCACAAAGTGCAAGTCAACCGTGGATCCAACTGGATCATGAGGCTATCACAATTCAAGACTATCACTCCTGGGTTACATGAGGGGATTCCGACCACACAGACTTTCTTTCAGGCCGCCGCAAGTCAGCAATACGTATGTCACTCCACCATCTGTGGAGAACTTCCGTAGCTCGGCAGTACCGATCTGAGTCAGCTCAGCTACGCTCTACAGAAGACCAACGTACTGGTAACTAGACGTGGACTGAGCATGGTAAAGTGCAAAAGTAGCTATTTTTCCGATGTTTCATAGAACCTTCCCGACTTTGCCGATGCGATCGAAAAACCACTGGATATCTTTGAGATCATTAGTCCCGATTGACTCTAGGAAGTCCATACTAGTAGGCAACTAGTTTGACGGTGCACGCACATCTCTCGAACACCGATAGCTTTGGTGGGTGTCAAAAGTTCAGGAGATGGAGGTCTTTGCCACCGTACAGCGTAATACGGTCAGCTCATCAAAGGAAAGCCACTCAGTGAAACGACTATCAAAAAATACCTCCGAGTGATTCATTCGCGAGGGCGTTAATTGAGCCACTGCCTACACGACACGTCCGCTGGAGAAAATCTGTGTGGGAGAATGGAACGTGAAACTTAATTGCTCGCCAGAAGAAATGAATTACCATGTATTCCTCCCGAAACA